CAGTGACTCACGGTCTACCCGTACCCGTACCCGGCCGCACCAGGGTCGCAAACGGGTAGCCCGTACCCGGCCGGGTTACGGGTAGCCGAGTATAGGGTAGGGTACGGGTATCGGGTACCCGGTTGCGACCTCTGCTTCCAGCGTTTTGTGGGCCTGACGCGGTCGCTAGGTGGCACTGTTGAAGCCAGAAAAATGTTGGGAAGCCCGAAAATAACTCGAGATTTGCCAGCGGTAAGGCTTACGCGTTTGTCTTTTTTCCCCCTTCCTTAAGCCAAAACACCCGTGGTATATATATATATACATGTATTACACAATTGCTATTGTAATGTTCTTACAATGTCGTAGGGGTTGTAGCGTTAAGGCATTTTCCGGATTATAAAGTAAGACGCAACACACCTCCCCCCCCCCAAAACAACCGGTGTCAATGCAGTTACACAAATCTGGTCGGTCACACACACACCTGATTATAAGACGCGCCCTTAACTTTTTCTTTAATCTACAAGCAGTGGTGGTGGGGGGTGGTGCGTCTTATAAACCGGAGAATATCGTCAATTGGCAACAGAGAACGATGCAGATCAATTCTAGATTTGAAGCTTTTGTGACTGCAAGGATTCGTATTCTTAGGTTTTTTTCGGTAAAGTCACCTAGGTGAAAAATTAAAATTAATAAAAGTAATATAAAAATAAAATAAAAATCCTAAACGTCGTGCTGTGACGGTTCCACCTGAAGACGGAAGCTTGTGTTGCCTCCGAAACGTCGTGATTTTTATTTTATTTTTTATTTTACTTTTATTAATTTAAATTTAAAATTTTCACCTACGTGACTTTACCGAAAAAAACCTAAGAAGATGCAGATAAACCCGTTGTTGTGCCGTACTTCTATGCTCCAACGTCGTTGTCTCCCGCATTCGCCAATCCGCACTGACCAGCGTGGTGAAGTAGGGTCAAACAACCCCCCTCCCTGCCCCCGCACGAAAAAAAGGGTTAATTCGGCAAGAGCCCATATCCATGGAGGTCCAAAGTACTCCCCCTATTGTGTATAGTTTTGTTAAACTTAACTAAGTTTACATTGCGGCTTTAAACGGATTGCCGTTTTAGATAACTTGGCTTTAGCACATAAGACATTAATAATAATAGGAAGCTGAATGGCTTTCTAACTTGATCTGTTTTGTCCGTTCATAATGTACCTGTCATAAAAAAAGTACTGCACTACTATACATACGAATCATATATGAACGATCTGACAATTCTCTCTACTAAAAGTTGTTTTTACTTGAAAGGTCTTCCCCCTGTGTTAATCTCTATAGGAGGCACTGAACTAGTGGACCAAATTCCACATTAGTATGCCAGGGAGGCAGTCTACCCATATAGAGCAACGGCTGCTGACTCCCCACTAAGTAGTACTCATTTTTATCCACCCAGTAAGAGTCATTGGCTGTCGATCAATGACCTGGGGAAATGTCACGATATATTTTTTTAAAATGCGTGCTTTTCATTTCCGACACACTGTTAAGTTACAGGTGTCTCTTGAGAGAGAGATGCTGTTAATAAAAGTTAACGGCCTTGGATATTGGAACGAGACTAACAACGGAGAAGCAGTCAAAGGAGGGAAACGCGCTCAGAGGACGTCCATCGCGGAGATGGAGCAACGGGACCGGCTCGTTTGCAGGTGCTAGGCATGGCTACGGCCTGGGGGAGTTTTCGTCCAGCAGTCGATTAATCATGGCCAATGATGATGATCATGATGTCTAATCAAACGAGTAAATGGAGAGGCACGTATCAGCCAGAACTCCACTGTGTCTCCACGCATTGATACGAAACTAAACTTTTACTGGTAGGAACCTTCTGGTTACACCAGCTCACAGGGGATTATTGTGTCCGTCCGTCCGTCGTGCATCCAAAAATGGGAGGGGTGGGCCTGGGTGGAGAGGGGAGGGTGGGGAGGGTGGTGAGGGGCTGGGTGGGGGAGGGGAGGGTGGGGAGGGGCTGGGTGGGGAGGGTGGGGCTGGGTGGGGGGTGGGAGGGGTGGGGCTGGGTGGGGAGGGGCTGGTCACCCCGTGGTACCCTTATAAAACTCAACATTTAACCTACTCACGCCGGCTTGTGCCCGCCCTCACAGTCGGCCATATTTGCAGGATACACCACGCCGCCGTTGACCCTGGCCATTGACCGAGCAACCCAACGTTCCTACCAGCTCCCTCCGCAGGAATGTGTTTATTTTTACTTTACCAGGGAAGGCCCACTAATCTGCACAGCTCTTTTTCAGAAGCGACCTGGACACAATTGATATAGCTCATCAAAAAAATGGCTTACCAAACGTTTAGTCCGTCGGTCGATTGGCTTTCCAGAGCAATGCTTTGACATAAAACTTAGCCGTGAAAAAACTGTCACGTTGGTAGCCTCTGAGCCATTGGTGGTAATTCCACATTCGCATGTACGAGTGCCGGTTTGTTCCGGAGAAAATGTGCACATTATTCCCAATCAAGCCTGTGTAAATGATGCAGGGGCTTTCAGAGGAGGCTTATTTATATATATGTGCTTTTGTAAAGCACTCTGAATTTTTTACTCCAAAGCGTGAGAATTTAATAAAAGCCGGATTTTTTTTTTTTACATTTTTCAGCTCCGCACTCATTTCATACCCAATTTGTAAACGCTTTTTGTAAATTGAAGCGTACGGGTTATAATTATTTTCAAGGAACACCACGCCAATTAACGCACGCAGCGCATTAATTAAACTTGAGCTGGCTTCACAGAAAATGCATTTAATATTTCAACTTCAGTTAAAGTGTGTTATTTTTCCTTTGCAAAAAAAAAGTATGCTTGTTACAGAAGAAAAATACTACTCTGAGAGACTATATAAACGTTTCCACATTATAGACTGTATATATTAACTGCAGTATATATAGTATTTTTGCCAAGGGACCTATATTGTTGCAGGTGGGAAAAGTCTTCGGCTAAATGATCTGTCTCTTTCTTGCTGTATACACCATGTATTATTTCCACTCATAACTCTGCCAGAATATTTCACAGACTAGTTCACATCTCTCCGCGAGCCGCACTGCTAACAGCTAAATAAACGCGGCCAAGAGCCTTAGAAGGTATATAAAAAAAATATCTATTTTTGTATTTATTCACAACAGACCATGCAGAACTCTGAAAAAGAAACGTGCAGACTTGTCGTGTAAACTTTGCACCAATTATCTTTCAAGCACTCTCCAGAAATGGTGCCGAGCAGCAATTCTTTCTTCACTCGATCCGCGCTCACCAGAGTGGTGAAGTATGGTCAAACAACGACCCCCGTGACCGGCACGGCGTGCAAGAGAGAAGAGGCCTTCACATCCAGCAGTGGACTGACAGCTGGCTGTGATTGATTACTTCCGGGGTAGCAGTTGTTTGTTTTATTCGCGAACGTTGTAGATTGGTAAACGTGATCTAGGTGTTTGTATTACTTTCTTAATATTGGAAAAATAAATACGGCGTGTGTATATGTAAATATCTACTTTTTCTTAGAGAGACTAATGTTATTTTTTTTTTACAATGTTTCCACTTACAGTTCGCACCGCCATAGGTATGCCGTCTACATCGCATTTGTTTCTACTTTAAAGAGTAATATTTGCCCTTAATTTGAATTGCATTTTTTCTTTGAATTATAAATAAATACCAAATTGCATTTTAATAAATTGCAGGCACTGAGTAATAATAATAATTATTGAATGAATGAAATGTCACAGCAAAGCTATTTTAATAAGGTAATACTTTTAAAAACATGCTCAAACTTATTATTTCCCTGACATAAGAAACCAATAATTTAATTGTACATTTTCTTCAAACGTTAGGCATGTATGGACTTCTTTCGCACCGTACGTAGCCAACCGTGCTAATCGTGTATTTCCCATACAACTATGAAAGGAGAACATTGATTTAATATTAAATATACTCCATAATAACATGAACTATTATTCCTCGATTTAAAGCTTTCGTGACTGCAGGGATTCATCTTCTTGGTTCTTTCGGTAACGTCACGTAGAAGGGAAATAATAAAATAATAAAAATAAAACATAATAAAATACAATTCTCACGACGTTTCAGCCACAACGCAAGCAGCCGTCCTCAGGTGAAGAACAGGGCTGTCGGAAAGACAGCGTCTGAATTCAGACGTGGTGGCCGAAACGTTGTGAGAATTGTATTTTATTATGTTTTATTTTTATTATTTTATTATTTCCCTTCTACGTGACTTTACCGAAAGAACCAAGAAGATCAATCCCTGCAGTCACCAAGAATAACTATTATTCCGTTATATTTATCTTTAGAGGTGAGCGGTGGCGCAGTGGTTAGCGCACTACGCTGTGAGCCAACACCACGCCCGGCCGCCTTTGTCTCTCCAGTGGCGATGTTTACACACCGCACCGGGTACTCATTTGAGGCTGAGTCGACCTAGGAGAGGCCCAGGACCGGTTCAAATAATCGTCACCGGTGTTGGCCGTGAGCGGGAATCGAACCCTGGACGCCGGGTTCATAACGAAGCGTAGCGCTAACCGATACACTACCGCAAAAAAAGACAAAGATCCCCCGAATAGCCTTTGTAGACTTTAGGGGCAAGTGCTGTTAGCGAGCACCTATAAAAGCCGGCACGGCACATAAGGGGGTGGGGTGGCCAGCACCACGCCCGGCCGCCTTTGTCTCCCCAGCGGCGATGTTTACGCACCGCACCAGCTACTCATTTGAGGCCGAGTCGACCTAGGGGAGGCCCACGACCGGCTCAAATAATCGTCACCGGTGTCGACCGTGAACGGGAATCGAACCCGGGTAGGGCCAGCTTGGCAGCTCAGCGTTAATCGCTGCACCACCGCTCCCCTCCCCTCCCCTCCCACCCACCCACCCAATCTCTGCGACCAATCACGGCTCAGCTCTCCCCAGCCTTAGGCCACGCCCAACGGGCCCGCGAGCGCCGTCCAATGGGGTGAGGGGCACCGGCGCCGGCGTTTGCGGGGGCCGCGGGACACGTGCGCCGAGTGGCTCAGTCGCTCCGTGCAGGCGAGAGGCGAGCACCACGCGTGCAGAGTGCGTGTGTCTAGGGGGGGCTCCTGTGTGTGTGTGTGTCCTCTTCAACAAAGGCGGACCCGGGCTTTTCGTCGTCTCCGTCTCTGTCTGCTCTCGCTCTCTCATCGCCACCACTCAGTAACACACAGAGAGAGAGACACACACGCAACTTACTTGGTTTGCGCTCACACTGCCCCGGGCTACGTTGCTGTGAACTGCAAAGCGCGCAACACACCACGACTTCGAAAGCGACAAGGACGAATTTAAAGATTTTTTAACAACAACAAAACAAAGTCCACCGCTTCTTGTTCTCTCGATGCTGGATGAACACAGCTGTATAGATAGCTGGCATATACTTTTTTTTCCTATTTTAAACGTTATATATTTTTTTTCTTCTGTCAAATAGCGCTGTGCAGGGCGGTGATTGAGTGAGTACAACAGCTGGGACTTTTAACATCTGCTGTTGTTAAATTGCTATATGCAACAGCAACATCATCATTATCATCATCAGCAGCAGCATCATCCTCGTCGTCAACAACAACAACAACCAGCGGCGAGAGTAGCCAAGAAATTCTCGGACAGACCTCTCAAGAACTTTCAGGCTTGCTGAAATTTCCTCTCCTTGTCGCCTTTGAAAAAAACCCTCCAGTTCCTACTACAACTCCTGCTGCTGCTGTCGCCCGCACGCATCTCGATATGTGGCTCATTCTCGTGTGGATGTGGGCGGCTGTCATTGGCAGTGGGACAGCCGGGGGAGCAAGACACTCGGTCTACTGGAACAGCAGCAACCCCAGGTGAGTCTCGGAGCGAGCGAAACGTCTGACTTGGATGAGTGAGTCGCGTTTGGGGTGCTGGAAGATGGCACTCGCCTCCCCCCCTCCCCCCACGGCTCGGGGTAGAGGATGCGAGGTTGATGAAGTTGGACTTGGCGCGAGTGAGTGGTCGAGGTCGACTCAGCCTCAAAAGAGCACCCGGTGCGGTGTGTAAATACATCGGCACAGGGGAGACAAAGGCGGTCGGGCGTGGTGTTGGCCACCCCCTGATGTGCCGTGCCGGACTTCATAAGTGTTGCTCGCAAACAGCACTTCCCCCAACAGTCTGTCAAGGCTATACGGGGGTAGGGGTCTTTGTTTTTTTGTGTGTGTGTGGTCGAGTGAGTGGTCTCCGCTGAGTTGGGTGCGCAACTCGAGTCTGGTGTGGCCTTAAATAGGCGCTCGCAAATCGCGAGGGTTAAACGGGGCTCTGCGCGTGAGTCGAGTTGAAGAGAGATTTCGGGCAGCAGTGCGGTGCATCATCAGCGGTGCGGTGTATCATCAGCGGTGCGGTGCATCATCAGCGGTGCGGTGCAAAATCAGCGGTGCGGTGCGGTGCATCATCAGCGGTGCGGTGTATCATCAGCGGTGCGGTGCATCATCAGCGGTGCGGTGCATCATCAGCGGTGCGCGCGGCTGCGTCTCACGGATCCCAGGCGAGCCGACTTCGCTGCCCACCCCCTCGGTCAACACCGGTGAAGATTCTTGTTTTTTGAACCCGCCTCCGCTAGGTAGCCTCAGCCTCGAATGAGTGCCTGGTGCGTTGGTTCTGGGGAGACAAAGGCGGCCGGGCGTTTTGTGCCGCCGGGCCAACCAGCTTGCCGTGTCTGCCTTCGACAGGAGGTGCCAAGGGCACTTTTTGTCGAGGCTGTGCCTGGGTGCGGCAAGCCTTGTGTTGAAGCGGGCGCGTGTGTGCGTGTGTCTGTGTGTCGCGTTGGGTCTTCGGTTCAGTTCCATGTATTAGGTGTAGCCCTATGAGCCGTGCGGCTCTTGAATCGGGTGCAACGGCAACGAACAAAAACAGGGAAAAAATCCAGGAAAGAACAGCAAAATCTTCTTAATAGGTGCTCGCAAACAGCGCTCGCTCCCACTACGATGAGCGGATCGCGAGGGCAATGACAGTGGGCGCCTTTGTCTGCTGCTCGTGGTTGGTGGGGGGGTGCGCGTTTCGTTAGCGTGCAAGCCTCAACGTAATAAAGTATGGTTCATAAAACGTAATAACCTCGCAATTAGTGTATCATTGCCGCTGTACACGCCTATTTAAATACCATCGAGTAGAGAGTGTGCACATTGAATGTATCATTCATCGTTTACGATCCTTTTATCAACCCACCGCTTGGATGAAGGCTTCCACCCACGCGGCGTTGGTCTTTGTTGTTTGACCATACTTCACCACGGATGGTGCCAGTGCGAGTTGGTTGAATTGGTTCCAGGGATCGGTGTAAATCCGTGACCGAGGCGTAGTGCGCTAACCACTGCGCCACCGCTCCACGCTCGATCATAATACATGACGAACGCATCGCTGCTCTCCAGATATTTCAAATATAGTGCACCTTCCCCCCTCCATCCCAGCTTAAATAGTCGCTCCAAGCCTGGAGTGTGTCATTCCGACTCTGTCTCCTCGACAGACCTGCCCTCCTTACCTGAGGACGGCTGCTTGCGTTGTGGCCGAAACGTCGTGAGAATTATTTTATTATGTTTTATTTTTATTTTTTATTACTTTCCCTTCTACGTGACTTTACCGAAAGAACCAAGAAGATGAATCCCTGCAGTCACGAAAGCTTTAAATCGAAATTTAGTGCATCATACTTGCACAATAAACAGAACGAGGGGGGGCATTCATCTCCTGCAAGTGCACGCTTGCACTCGGAGTAGACTGTGCCCGCACGTGCTTATTGTTGGCCACCGTAGGTTGACGTATGGACGTACAGTAGTCTCCAAAATGCACGGGAGTTGTTTTTTAAATCACTATTTCAGTCACTGCTGTGGAATCATCATCATCAGCAGCTGTGATGCGCAGAGACTTTGATGCGCAGAGACTTTGATATTGGGGCTATACATCACCGTGCAGTGCTGGTGGCCGTCTCGATAACTACACAGATACCGCATAGACTTAGCATTGGCATGTGTACGTGAACGATGTGTGACACGTGAGAATCCACACGTAATATGGATCGGCCAATAACATACGTGAGCATGTATAAACAATGTGTCTTATACGCGACACGTATGTGCATGCCGAATACAATATGCATTTATGTATAACGCACTTATGTCCACTCAACGATACACGCATATACATACAGTACCTGTATATCCAGACATGAAAAGCCTTGCATAGGTGCACACGCGCGCATGTGTTCGTATAAGTGCCGAGCGTCAATGCTTGTTAAGTGCTGTGTGTTTCTAAGTATGGGCACATTATGCCGAAAGGCAGTAGCGGTCCTTTAATCATCATGATCAGACATGCTGGGTTGTCCCATCCAGCAGCAATCTTTAACCCGTGTACAACGATAGTGAATAACATGTCACGGCTGTTGTTGTGAACGGAAACAAAAACGTTACATTTTAATGCCCGTGCTGCAACGAGGGTGAATATTTACGCAGCAATGTGCAATATTCAAGTCTCTCTCTTATCCCATTGTCTTAAGAGCTGTTGTAGACTCGTCCGAGATAACGAAGAGGCTGGCTCTCATTATCCCGCGGTTGAAAGAGTGAAACATCACCAACCCACGTTTGTCGGGAGGAATGTGCCATTTCCCGCAACTGGCTTAAACTCGTCAACAGATGCCAACTGCCTTTTCCTGTGCACAGCGTTGATCAATGGTCACATCAGACTGAAAGTACGGATAGTGTCGTCTCTAGCTTGCATTGTAAATCTATGTATACGAGGAGAGCGTGCGTGCGCGCGCGTATTTCCCAGTTAATGATAGGCTTGCAACATAACGCAACCCACTGGGCGGATAATTGTATGTGCTATTGTGCAATTGATAGAAGTTTACATCAGCCAGCCGGGGCATGTTAAGGGAGAGGAGAAGAGAGAGGGGTTTGTGGATTGCGCCGTGAATTCCAATCGCTTGGGACCGACGTCGCACACCTTTGAATGCGCACCTCATCTCGGAAGCTGAGCAGGTCTCAGCCTGGTGGTTGGTTCTCGGATGGGTGGACCACCCTGGGGCTATCCCGGGCTGCGTGGTGGCGAGGCAGAGAAGGAACCAATGATACAAAAAACAACTTCCAGAAACTTATAATCATGCCATTCATTGCAGTAAATGTTCGCGCTGTACGGAATTGATTTGCGTGGGTATGTTGCACGCGTGTTTCCGTGCGTACGTACGTCGTTGTGTGTGTGTTGCCGTGCGAAAGTAGGTCGTATGTGTGTGTGTAAGTACGTTGTGTGTGTGTCTGTGTGTAAGTACGTTGTGTGTGTGTCTGTGTGTACGTACGTTGTGTGTGTGTTGCCGTGTGTACGTACGTTGTGTGTGTGTCTGTGTGTAAGTGTGTGTGTGTGTGTCTGTGTGTAAGTGTGTGTGTGTGTGTCTGTATGTACGTACGCTGTGTATGTGTCTGTGTGTAAGTACGTTGTGTGTGTGTCTGTGTGTATGTACGTTATGTGTGTGTGTGTCTGTGTGTAAGTTGTGTGTGTGTCTGTGTGTAAGTACGTTGTGTGTGTGTCTGTGTGTATGTAAGTTATGTGTGTGTGTGTGTATGTAAGTTGTGTGTGTGTCTGTGTGTAAGTACGCTGTGTATGTGTCTGTGTAAGTACGTTGTGTGTGTGTGTGTCTGTGTGTAAGTACGCTGTGTTTGTCTGTTGGCGTCCTGATTTGCGTGGTGATCTCTCCCTGGGTACACGATGTCTTCTCCCACTCGAAGCCAAACTCTTAATTGATTTGGCCCAAGACATCGATAGAGAAGGACCCTTCTGAAAAACGAGTCTTGAGAATGAGCGAGGCTTCCCTGGGTGAATGACCGGCAACTCCTCTAAGAAGTTATATAAATACAAGGATAGGTTTTACCCTTTCTGTAAAATTATTATGATAGCCAAGGAATGGAAACGCGTCCGTCCGAGAGCACGTCCGGCATTAGAGATGGAGCGATGAATTAACCGCAGGTGCTGGATCCAGGATTATTGCTGCGTCGGTATAAACATTTAGTTACTTATTTAAAGAAAACGCGTAGTGTATATGCAAAGGCTTAAACATTTTTCACTAAATACAAACACATTTCCCCGGCACCTAAACGAGTACACATCGGCACAAAGAAGATGCACACTGGGCGTGATGTGCCCATCCAGACGGACCCCTGCTGAAGTGACAGTCCTCAGTATACGCAACGGCTCCTGACCAGCTCGGCTGTGCTCTTTTACCACTTCTGGGAGACAGTTGTTGTGTCGCCGTGGTTGCGATGTCTTTGCCTTTCGAGTCACGCTGTCTCGCTCGTTGAAGGCTGCTTGAGCCACTTCGCGCGGACCATTTCCAACGGTTCGATTCCCCGCAACGGGCGCTCACGCTGTGCAATCAATGCATTACGCGCGCAAATCACCGAAAGGGATTCGTAGCATGGATGTTTATGCAGCGACGGTAACGACTGCACCGTTATTTTTTTTTGTAATAGCCCATCATGTCATTTGTTTTGTCCGGATTATAAGACGCACGCCCGCTGGCAGGAGGTCACGGGGCAGACCCAGTTGCCACGGGTCGACTGACCGAGATGACCGAGATGACCGAGATGACTGGCTGATGCACCACCTGTGCCCCCTACTGTGCCAACTTGCTGTGCTTTAGCCACCCGGCGCTCCGCTCGTTGTTGTGAGCGTCGCTCCTCCGCCCTCCGTTGTTGTTGGAGGGCGACTGCCTCCAACTGCCCAGTAGCGTCCTTCACGAGCCTCCTCCACAGAGGCCGATCTTGACACTGCTGGTACCAGTCATCGGCAAGTCCACTCAGCTCCACGTCCTCCTGTACCACATCACTCCATCTCTTCT